CAATATATTGATCTTACTGAATCCTAGGTTTTTATGAATTAAAGAACCTCAGTGAGCGCGCTCACATACCCCACATCCCCACATTGATACTGGAGAAATAAAATAACTGATAGGATTATTTGTTTACCAACTCATGTGAAAACAATATTCAAGTGGTGGATAAAACATCTTCCTTCTAGTTACAAACCAATAATGCAAAATGATCCTGATATTATACTGTTCAGTGATTCAGGTAAAACTGGTTGGGGTGGAATTAATAAAACTACTGGTAACAGAAGGGTTGTGGTCAGCAGAAGAGAGAGAAATGCACATTAATGTTTTAGAACTAAAGGCAGCTTTCTTAACTTTACAATCATTGGCTGGAAATATTTCACAAAAGCATATTCAAATGAACTTAGATAATACAGTAGCTATTTCTTATATTGACAATCTGTCTGTACTTGAGGTTCAGTTGATTTGTACGTCATGTAGAAAAAAACTGTCAAAATTGTTGTTCGTAATAGACATTCCTGTTCATTTAGTTCGAGTGTATGAAAATTGAATTGGTCTGTACTTGAGGAACAAATGATGTGTACTGCATGTTGACAAAGCCTGTCCAAAGTTTTGATGGTAATATACAATAATATTTTTTATATTTGGGTGTATGTAGATTGAATTGGTCTGTACTTGAGGTTCAGTTGATGTGTACCTCAAGTACACAAATCCTTTCGAATGTTTTAATGCTAACACATATTATTATTCATCAGGGTTAGTTGTATGTAGATTCAATTGGTCTGTACTTGAGGTGCAGTTGATGTGTTCCTCAAGTAGACAAAGCCGTTCAAAAGTTTTAATGGCACATTAGTATTCATCGGGGTTGGTTGTATGTAGATGCAATCGGTCTGTACTTGAGGTACAGTTGATGTGTACGTCGAGCAGAAAGAACTCATCAATATTCATCAGAGTTGGGTGTATATAGATTAAGTAGGTCTGCACTTGAGGTACAGTTGATTTGTACTTCAAGCAGACAAAGCTTTCGAAAGTTTTGAAAGTAATACACATCAATATTCATCAGAGTTGGGTGTATGTAAGCTGCATTGGTCTGTACTTGAGGTACAGTCGATTCGTACCTGAAGTAGACAAAGTCTGTCGAATGTTTTGATGGTAATACACATCACTTACATCAGATTTGGGTGTATATAGATTCAGTAGGTATGCACTTGAGGTACAGTTGATTTACACTTCAAGTAGAAAAAGCTATCAAAAGTTTTGATGGTAAAACACATCAATATTCATCAAAGTGAGGTGTATGTAAGCTCTATTGGTCTGTACTTGAGGTACAGTTGATTCGTACCTGAAGTAGACAAAGCCTGTCGAATGTTTTGATGGTAATACACATCACTTACATCAGAGTTGGGTGTATATAGATTGAGTAGGTATGCACTTGAGGTACAGTTGATTTGTACTTATAGTAGACAAAGCTTTCGAAACTTTTTTGAAAACAATACACTTCAATATTCATCAAAGTGAGGTATATGTAGATTAAATTGTCTGTACTTGAGGTTCAGTTGATGCGTACCTGAAGTACACTAAGCCTGTTGAAAGTTTTGATGGAAATACACATCAATACTCATCAGAGTTGGGTGTATGTAAGTTGCATCAGTCTGTACCTGAGATACAGTTGATGCGTATCTCAGGTAGACAAACCCTGTCAAAAGTTTTGATGGTAATACACATAAGCATTCATCTAAGTTGGGTGTATTTGATTTGAATTTGTCTGCACTTGAGGTACAGTTGATGTGTAACTCAGGTAGAGAAAGTCTGTAAAAAGTTTTGATGGTAATACACATCAATAGTCATCAAAGTGAGGTGTATGTAAGTTGCATTGGTCTGTACCTGAGGTACAGTTGATGTGTACCTCAGGTAGACAAAGCTTTCGAAAGTTTTGATGGTAATACACATCAATATTCATCAAATTGAGGTGTATGTAAGTTGCATTGGTCTGTACCTGAGGTGCAGTTGATGTGTACCTCAAGTATACAAAGCTTTCGAAAGTTTTGATGGTAATACACATCAATATTCACCAAAATGAGATGTATGTAGATTGAATTGGTCTGTATTTGAGGTACAGTGTATGTGTATCTCAGGAAGACAAAACATTCGAAAGTTGTGAGGGTAATTCACAACACATCAATCTTCATCAAAGTTTAGTGTATGTAGATTAAATTGGTCTGTACTTCAGGTACAGTTGATTTGTACCTCCAGTAGACAAAGCCTGTCGAAAGTTTTGATGGTAATACACATCACTATTCATGAGAGTTAGGTGTATGTAGATTGAGTAGGTCTGTACTTACGGTACAGTTGATTTGTACTTCAAGTAGACAAAGGTTTCGAAAGTTTTGATGGTAATACACATCAATATTCATCAAAGTGAGGTGTATGTAAGTTTCATTGGTCTGTATTAGAGGTACAGTTGGTGTATACCTCAGGAATACAAAGCCTGTCGATAGTGTTGATGGTAATACATACCAATAGTCAACAAGGTGAGCTGTATGCAAGTTGCATTGGCCTGTACCTGAGGTACAGTTGATGTGTACCTGAAGTAGATAGAGCCTTCTAAACTTTGGATGAAAATATACATTAATATTCATCAGAGTTGGGTGTATGTAAATTGCATTGGCCTGTACTTGAGATACAGTTTATGTGTACCTCAAGTAGACAAAACCTGTCGAGAGTTTTGATAGTAATACACATCACTATTCATCAGAGTTGGGTGTATGTAGATTAAATTGGTCTGTACTTCAGGTACAGGTGATTTGTACCTCCAGTAGACAAAGCCTGTTGAAAGTTTTGATAGGAATACGCATCAATATTCATCAGGTGTTGGGTGTATGTAAGTTGCATCGGTCTGTACTTGAGGTTTATTAGATGTGTATCTCAAGTAGACAAAGCCTGTCGTAAGTGTTGATGGTAATACACATCAATAGTCATCAAAGTGAGGTGTATGTAAGTTGCATTGATCTGTACTTGAGATACAGTTGATGCGTACTTGAAGTAGACAAAGTCTGTCGAAAGTTTTGATGGTAATACACATCACTTACATCAGAGTTGGATGTATGTAGATTGAGTAGGTCTGCACTTGAGGTACAGTTGATTTGTACTTCAAGTAGACAAAGCTTTCGAAACTTTTTTGAAAACAATACACATCAATATTTATCAAAGTGAGGTATATGTAGATTAAATGGTCTGTATTTGAGTTACAGTTGATGTGTACCTCAGGTAGACAAAGCCTGTCGAAAGTTTTGATGGTAATACACATCAATATTCATCAGTGTTGGGTGTATGTAAGTTGCATTGGTCTGTACATGAGGTTCAGTTGATGCGTACCTGAAGAACACTAAGCCTGTTGAAAGTTTTGATGGAAATACACATCACTTACATCAGAGTTGGGTGTATATAGATTGAGTAGGTCTGCACTTGAGGTACAGTTGATTTGTACTTCAAGTAGACAAAGCTTTCGAAACTTTTTTGAAAACAATACACTTCAATATTCATCAAAGTGAGGTATATGTAGATTAAATGGTCTGTACTTGAGGTTCAGTTGATGCGTACCTGAAGTACACTAAGCCTGTTGAAAGTTTTGATGGAAATACACATCAATACTCATCAGAGTTGGGTGTATGTAAGTTGCATCAGTCTGTACCTGAGATACAGTTGATGCGTATCTCAGGTAGACAAACCATGTCAAAAGTGTTGATGGTAATACACATAAGCATTCATCTAAGTTGGGTGTATTTAATTTGAATTTGTCTGCACTTGAGGTACAGTTGATGTGTAACTCAGGTAGAGAAAGTCTGTAAAAAGTTTTGATGGTAATACACATCAATATTCATCAATAGGAGGTGTGCGTAGGTTATATTGGTCTGTATGAGAGGTACAATTGATGTGTACATCAGGTAGACAAAGCCTTCGAAAGTGTTGATGGTAATACACATCAATAGTCATCAAAGTGAGGTGTATGTAAGTTGCATTGGTGTGCACCTGAGGAACAGTTGATGTGTACCTCAGGTAGACAAAGCTTTCGAAAGTTTTGATGGTAATACACATCAATATTCATCAAATTGAGGTGTATGTTAGTTGCATTGGTCTGTACCTGAGGTGCAGTTGATGTGTACCTCAAGTAGACAAAGCTTTCGGAGGTTTTGATAGTAATACACATCAAAATTCACCAAAATGAGATGTATGTAGATTGAATTGGTCTGTATTTGAGGTACAGTGTATGTGTACCTCAAGTAAACAAAGGTTTCGAAAGTTTTGATGGTAATACACATCAATAGTCATCAAAATGAGGTGCATGTAGAATGAATTGCTCTGTATTTGAGGTACAGTTGATGTGTACCTCAGGTAGAAAAAGTCTGTCGAAAGTTCTGATGGTTATACACATCAATATTCATCAGAGTTGGGTGTATGTAAGCTGCATTTGTCTGTACTTGAGGTACAGTTGATGCGTACCTGGAGTAGACAAAGCCTGTCGAATGTTTTGATGGTAATACACATCACTTTCATCAGAGTTGGGTGTATGTAGATTGAATAGGTATGCACTTGAGGTACAGTTGATTTGTACTTCAAGTAGACAAAGCTTTTGAAAGCTTTGATGGTAAAACAATCAATATTCATCAAAGTGAGGTGTATGTAAATTGAATCGGTCTGTATTTGAGGTACAGTTGATGCGTACCTCAGGTAGACAAAGCCTGTCGAACGCTTGGATGGTAATACACATCAATATTCATCAAAGTGAGGTGTATGTAGATTGAATTGGTCTGTATTTGAGGTACAGTTGATATGTACCTCAGGTAGACAAAAACCATGAAATTTTCGGAACTGAACACAAAAGACATCCATATAATGTTTTGGACATTGATGATATTGAAAACATTGAATCTTCTTCAGCCTTTGAAATGATGGCAGTAGAATACAAAAGTAGATGGCATCATGATGTTGGTATATGGAATATACAGCCTCCTGATATAAATGATAAGCTAGACATTAGATTATTCCAGAAGTAATTTATATGTATTATATATATATATATTGTTTAAAACAAACATGACACAAGGTCCCAAAGTTCCAGTAACAGAAAAGTTTATATGTTTCATTCTTTCATCTCAGTACACGTATTATTCTTATAATTACTTTTGGGAGTCTAAAGCAAATTTTCTAAGTTGGTGCCAAAAGAATCCCTGGTCAGTTATATATATTCTAACACCTCAATCCAACTTGCATTTTGCACTATAACAGCAACATTCTGTTCACCTTAAGGGAATCCGGGTCCGTTCGCCAAAAAACATGTTCGGCCCCTTTCACTTTCGCACCCTACACATTCAAACCCAAAGTCCGTTCGCACCCTTTTTATTGGTTTTGTGTATAATTATTTTGTAATTGAGTTTTGGTAAGTGTATTGCTGTAAATATTTTTTTTTCATTGTTTCAAAATAAAGTGAGATTCGGACATCATTTTTTTGTGTTGAATAAATCTTAATCATGGTTTGGTTTACTTAGTGTATTGCTATAAAAAAAAATCATTTTTTCTAAATAAAGTGAGATTCTGACATCGTTTGTTTTTATTTTGTGTTGAATAAATCTTAATCATCTTTTGGTTAGTGTATTGCTATAAATTTATGTTTTCATTGTTTCAAAATAAAGTTAGATTCTGACGGTTTTTTTTTGTGCTGAATAAATCTTAAATTATGTTTTGGTTAGTGCAGTGATATAAAAAAAAATTTTCATTGTTTCAAAATAAAGTGAGATCAAAGGGGCCAATTATCTTTCGTGCTTTCCTTTTAAAATCTTCAATGTTTTACTCATACCAAGCTAAATACATGCAGTATTTAAAAGCAAGTTATAACAACAATCATGATTTTCAAACACACAACAATAATACCAAATTTAGCTGTGTATAAATACCAATTAGCAGTAATCATACATTTGTACATACAATGTACATGTAATTAACATTTAATAATTAATCATCAAATTAATAAAAAAAAAAACCCAAAAAATATTCATATAATAATTCCCCAATTTATATACAGGAAAATATATTTTTTTTGGTATATACATATAAAAAAATATCTAATAATTCAACTTGAATTTGAATAAAACTTGGGTGCGAATGTGTAGGGTGCGAACGGACCTAGGGGGCGAACGGACCTGATACCACCTTTAGGTAGTAAGCACGTTTTCCAGAGTCCCATTTTCTTTTCAGAATCACTAATTCATACTACTATTTGGGAATCTTTGACAGTTTGATACTTGATCCTAGATTTTGCAACACTTGAACTATTGGTGTTATACAATCAATTTTCTTTTGTGGAGTCTAACATTTTCTCTTGATGTCAAAATTTTGCAGAAATGGCTGATACATTTTTTTTGTGTAGATCAAAATTGTAAAATGACTTTTTTGTCCTACATGTGCATGATGTGTACAGCCTAAATACAACAAATGTATGGTGTACCTCAGCTTAAATCTGAACGTCTGGCTCCTCTCTGTCAACAGTTTGTCAGCTAAATAATACCCAGTAAAGATATACATACATGTATATAATAAATGTAAAACTTTTCTTCTTAAATTGTCAAAATATCATGAATGTATAGGGAAACTCCCCCTTAAGTCAGTGGCTTTTTAGTGGGGAGTTTTCCTATAGTAAATCAAGAGAATTATTTCAAAGATAGGAAAACAATTCGTTAAGACTTCTAGATTTTTGTCTCGCCTTGACAGAGTCAAAAAGCGAGACATAGGTATGCTGTTTCCGGCGGCGGCATCAACAATGTATTAGTTTGTGATTAGGTCTAGTTCATAATGAACCACTAGTGGTAGGTCAATGATATTTGGTATGCAGTTGTATTAGCATTGGCACATCTCATTACCATGGAGATTATTTGGCCCTGCTCCCTCAGTCAAGGTCTATTGACTTTGAAACTTTGCTTAGTTTACATGTATTAGTTTGTGATAAGGTCAGTTTATGGGGAACCACTAGTGGTAGGTCAATGATATGTGGCATGCAGTTGTATTAACATTGGAACATCTCATTACCATGGAGATTATTTAGCCCTGCCCCCTCAGTCAAGGTCTATTGACTTTGAAACTTTGCTTACATGTAATTTACATGTATTAGTTTGTGATTAGGTCAGTTTATGGGGAACCACTACTGGTAGGTCAAGGATATTTGGTATGCAGTTGTATAAGCATTGGCATATCTCATTTCCATGGAGATTATTTGGCCCACCCCCTCATTCATGGTCTATTGACTTTGAAACTTTTGCTTAGTTTTCATGTATTAGTTTGTGATTAGGTCAGTTTAAGGGTAACTGTTAGTGGTAGGTCAATGATAATTGGTATGCAGTTGTATAAACTTTAGCACATCTCCTTTCCATGGAGAATATTTGGTCCTTACCCCTCAGTCATGGTCTATTGACTTTGAAACTTTTGCTTAGTTTACATGTATTGGTTTGTGATTAGGTCAGTTCAAGATGAACCACTAATGTTAAGTCAATGATATTCGGTAAGTTTCATTTCCATGGAGATTATATAACCCCACCCCCTAATTATGGTTCATTGACTTTGAAACTTTTACATAGTTTACAAGTTAATGTTTGTGTTTAGGTTTGTTTAAAGGGAACGACTTATGAAAAGTCAATGGTATTTGATTTGCAGTTGTATTAGCATTGGCACATCTCATTTCCATGGTGATTGTTTAGCCCTGTACCTACAGTCATGGTTCATTGACTTTGAATATTTGCATAACTTACATGTTAAAGTATTGCTATTTTAATTTTAACATTTGCATTATCAAAATAACATATAGGCGAGACATATCTCTGTGTTAACAGTTTATGATTATACATTGTGTGTATGCGTAGTACAATGAACAATGATGAATAGATAAAACGCAACTACATGTATGTACTTATACATGCAGCTATATTTTGATATATATATATATGTGTGTAAATGTACTACAATGTAGGTGAAGAGAAAAAAAAATCACAATAAATTGTTAGAAATCTGGTAGAAAATAAAGTAACAAGATAAAATCACCATTTTGGCTTAGAAAATAGCAAGAATCTAGTGTCCGTTCTTTAAAAAGTACATGAAATCATAAATTTTTTCCTAATAAAATCAAAACGTACATGTAGATAACATAGGGTAGGTGTTTACGACCAATATTTATTCCTGACAAAAATGCATGCATTTGCACCACAGGTCTATTTTGTCAAAAAATGCTTTTGTGCCACTACATTTTGAAAATTAAATGTTTTATTTGGGCCATTTAAAACTGGCATACAACTGCACCAATTTGACAACTTATTAGGTTTTTGTCAAGCCTTCGACATTTATCATGTTTTTGAACATTGCGAAAACAAGACCATGAAGACATCGTGTTCCTATTCCTAGATTCCGTCATTTAGGTTAGTTACATATGTAGGTTCAGTCTGTGGTTAAAGTTTTACTATAGACATCAATAACTTTGTCAAACTTTCATGGAATTTTATGAAATTAGGACAGAAGCTTGTATATGACCAACATGACCAAAATACAGTACCGTATTCAGACCAGAATTTTTTATTTTCATTTTTTCTGTATTTTACTGATAAATGGACTAAATTTTTTTTTACAGTTAACATTCAGATTCGGTCTGAGGTTGAAGTTTTTCAGTTTTCAATAACTTTGCCAAACCTTCATGGAATTTTATGAAATTTGGCCAGAAGCTTGTTACTGAATGACATACAGTATCCAGAGCAAAATTTTTCTGTATTTTACTGGTTAACATGGTAAATGGGTTTAGTGTTTTTTAACAGTAAACAAATAGATACTGTACATGTCTGGTGTTGAAGTTTGTTACACATTTATTACTTTGTGAAACCTTCATCGAATTTTATGAAACCTAATTTGGCAAAAGCTTTTTTTAGAGATAATGGCAGCAATTGGCTGAAACATAAATGTAGCATCTATTTGTAGATCTTGTCTTGCTGATCATTTTAACAACTTAAAGTTTCTCTCTTTCCATTATATTTTTCAAGTTAATAGGCAAAAATGAAAAAAATGGAAAACATTTTCATTTAAGGGCAATAACTCCTATAACATGTATAAGACGTCGCCTGACAGTTTTGACTTAAATGGACAATTGGTGGATCTCAACATTCTGAACATTTCTGCCCTTGTCAGATTTTCTATTTATAACAGTTTTCAAAACAATAGACAAAACTTACATTTTACTCCTACATTTGTATGTTCTATTTTTAGCAATGTCAGCCATCTTGGTTAGCAGGCGGGTTATCTGACACATTTTTTAATCTAGATACCCCAATGATGATTGTTGTCAAGTTTGGTTAAATTTGGTCCAGTAGATTCAGAGGAGAAGATTTTTGTAAAAGATAATGGACAACGCATCTTTGCTAGCCAAGGGTTAGGATCCAGTCCGCTCCTGTCCACCCTTGGCGGGTTAAGATAGAATTTCGGGTGGATGAGGTAATGATTTCCATTGGTCACAGTTATAAGTTGCTGCATTCAATCAAAAAGCGCCTTTAAAATGATCATGTGTAAATGTAGAAAATGTCAATAAACAATTGCCACATGCCACATGCTTTTTGTGCAACAAATGACAATTTTAAAGTTCTTAATCAACTAATTTAAGTTCCTTGATATCTTTCTAGTTGAAATGTTGAAATACCAACATATATCATGTATATTTTGGTCCCTGCTTCATGAAATTTGTAAACACTACCCAGACACAACCATTTTAACACCTTCACACTGAAGAAAGTTCAAGTGCTGCCATTGGTCATGAATGATATAGTCGGAATGGGCATGACTTTTATCTACTGTTAGATGACGCAGCATTGTAATCACAAAATAATGTTGGCTTAATTTGCCCAGGGTGGAGAGGAGGGGACTGGATCGTTACACTTGGCTAGCAAAGATTCTTACAGCGATGACGGACAACTACAAAGGACGCTAAGTGATGAGAAAAGCTCACTTGGCCATTCTTAAAAGGACTTCATTTCAAGTTTCTTTATCCATTGGTCCCAGGTTTACTGAAAAACTACAATGATTGATATTTTTTTTTATTTGGTAATTTCCTCTGTTTAAAAAATAGAATTATTAAAATGAAAAGTTAAAAGAAGTTATTATGCAAATTTAATGACCTACAGACACTGATTTCTATTATGAAAATGAAGATGTGGTATGATTGCCAATGAGACAACTCTTCACAAGAGACCAAATGACACAGAAATTAACAACTATAGGTCACCGTACGGCCTTCAACAATGAGCAAAGCCCATACCACATAGTCAGCTATAAAAGGCCCCGAAATGACAAATGTAAAACAATTCAAACGAGAAAACTTACGGCCTAATTTATATACAAAATAATGAATGAAAAACAATTATGTAACACAGCAACAAACGACAACCACTGAATTGCAGACTCCTGACTTGGGAAAGGCATATATATACAGAATGTGGCGGGGTTAAACATGTTAGTGGGCTTCCAACCCTCACCTAATCCTGGGTCAGCGGCACAATAGTACAACACAAGAACTGCACAAAATAACAAACAAACAACGCACATGATCAACAGCAAAAAACAACAACCACTCAATTACAGGCTCCTGACATAGGACAGGCACATATAGAATGTGGCGGGGTTGAACATGTTAGCAGGCGCCCTAACCTGAGATAGTGGTGTAACGGTACAACATAAGAACAAACTATAAAAATCAGTTGAAAAAGGCTTAACCCATCAGATGGATACAAATAGAAATACATCTAACAAAAACACAGAGTGGACGTGGCTAGGTAATTGTACATCCCAACAACAAAAAGACACTTAAGTACAGATCTGAGAGTACTTGCAGTTAATGACTTGTTCAAAGCCAATAACAACTAATAAAAAAATGATGCATCTATGACTTAATTATCAATCAGTACACATCCAACATCCAATGGATTTAGTTTAAAGACGTCATAAACAGTAAGAGAAAAACATGACCTTGTGGCTAGTGCAAGCTATTCTATCCACTGAAAAATTGCAGATCTTTCCTAAAATCTGCAGTAATGTAACTAACAAATAAGCAATAGTGCTATAGCAAGTTGTTCTTGTCCACTATTACTGAAATGGTAAAGTAATATATGATTGAAATTATACACACAATTTCGCCAATCTTTCCATCAGTGATTTCAGATCACTTTGATTAAGAATAAATTGTCCCATTTTAATGTTGCATTCATGGTTGTAGGGATACTTTGCTATAGAATAAGACGCATTAACAATTTGTCATTATTTTTTAGGTTTCGAGTTCATGGGGAACTCTTTGTCCAGCAGTTGATAAATATGAGTATGATTAAGACAACCCAGAACTTGACAGAAGCAATGTATCAGAGTTTGTTTCAAGAATTTGCTGCACAGTTTGGATTAATGAGTTTGTAAGTGCATATTAATACAGCTTAAAAGAAATGGATTTAGGTGTAATCTTGTATCTTACATTGTATCTGGTTTGAAAGGCCATATGAGCTAATGCTGTCACCTGGCAGCCATTGTTGTAGTCATGGTAGTCAAATCCTCTTTGGTCTGTAAACATTTAACATATTCATCTTCCCTGAAACCACTTAGCAGGAATTATACAAAATGTATGTGGAATGCTATCTCATGTGTCTCACATGATTATTATGTTGTTTCTAATCAAACAGAAATAAATGGGCCGCCAGAGGCAATCTTTTTAATGAATGTAAGCTAGGATTGAATGAATAAGATCACAGAACAGCCTTAGTTCAATATTGGCTTTCCAGATGTGTTCGTTTTTACTTGACTTAAACGGTAAACATTTTGAGGAAAACATTTATAAATAATATGAAAAACTCTTTAACTTTGTGAATATTTTTGTATGGAGAAATGTGCATTTCAATATGACCAATCATTTCTTGTTTTGTTGTGCAATTCTAATTACATGAATTACTATCCAGTGGCGTTGTTGTTATGTAAACTATTGGTATAAAAATTAAAGCTTTATATTTCAGAAGGTAGAAGACCTGGATGCTTCATACCATGTATGGATATACCTTATGTTGTGAAGTTTCCTTCTGTCATATATTTATTGTCCTTGACCTCATTTTCATGGTTCAGTGATTACTTGGAAAAAAAATTATATTTTTATTGTCATGTGAATTTCTCACTTATTATGAGTAATACGATAACTATATTTGGTAAATATGGGCTCCTTGCAACAATTACATGTCAGTCAGACAGAGTTCACACGACCTTGACCTCATTCCATGGATCAGTACTCAAGGTTGAAGTTATGTGATTAGGTCCATTTTTCAGATACTAAAAACAGTAGATCAACCATATGTGGTGTGTGGAATGATTGTAAGGAGTACATGTCAGTCTGGCAGGATTATCTTACCTTGACCTCATTGTCGTGATACATTGGTCAATGTAAAGTTTTTGTGTTTTGATTTGTTTTTTCAAGTACTATCAGCAGTAGGTCAACTATATTTGGTATATGGAATCATTATAAGGTGTTAATGTCTGTCTGGCAGGTAAAATCTGACCTTGACCTCACTTTTATGGTTCATTGGTCAACAGTGGGTTGTGTGTTCAGGGTTTTTTCTGGGTATTTTGGGAAAAAGGACCCTGGCCAGTTTTGGGAATTTTTTCACGGGCTTTTCAGTGAAATTGGGAAAACAGCAGATACCAGATGTGAGTTTTAGTGTGTTTAGGTTCATTAAAAGTTTATCTTTTATTGTGAAAATAAAGTAAGAAACTTCCAGATTTTTACTGGCCCTTCAAAATTGAGAAGAAATTACCTCTTGGAATTGAAGTAATATGTTTACACTAGCTATAAAAACATCTACATGTAATATCAACATTTATTAATGATAAAGAAAATTACTGTCACATTTTATTGGATTTTGACATGAAAATTTGTGAACTTAAAGTATTTTTGAATTTCTGTATAAAATTTTTCCTGCTTTATCTTTCTTTTCCATATATCTTTTAGTTTTCAATTCTAGAGTTTATATTTCATCATCATAGATGTATTTTGTCACCTGCCTGGAACTATTATTTTTTTATTGTATTTGATCGGCAAACCCGAAATTACCCTTATCCACCCCCGGAATCTGATCCGGGTATTGTAATTGTCTCCATTTCCTGTTTATGGCATCCATTGTTTTTATACGACCGCAAAAAAATTTTGTGGTCGTATATTGGTATGACGTTGGGGTCGTCGTCGTCGTCGTCCGGCGTCGTCGTCCGAAGACACATTGGTTTTCGCACTCTAACTTTAGTTTAAGTGAATGGATCTTTTTGAAATTTTACCACAAGGTTCAATACCACAAAAGGAAGGTTGGGATTGATTTTGGGGGTTATGGTACCAACAGTTAAGGAATAAGGGGCCAAAAAGGGGCCAAAATAAGCATTTTCTAGTTTCCAGACAATAACTGTAGAACGGTGTATGGATCTCTCTGAAATTATACTACAAGTTTCCATACCACAAAGGGATGGTTAGGATTTGCTTTGGGGGGTTATGGCTCAAACCGTTTAGGAATTAGGGGCAAAAAAGTGGGAAAAACAAGGTTGTCCTGGTTAATGGACAAATACTTTAGTACAAAACATAATTTAAAGCAGTGTAAGGGAGATAAATCAAATACATCATTGAAATTATCTCCCTTACACTGCTTTTAAATTATGTATAAAGTAATGGTTAATGAACAATAAAGATAATTTAAAACAGTGTAAGGGAAGTAATCCAAATACAACGTTTTGGTTACTTCCCTTACACTGTTTTTAAATTATGTTTAAAGAAATGCATATTTATAAAGGAAGACCAGTAAAAATATCTGCAAATGTTGCATCTTTTTTTTTTACAAAAAAATCCATATGAAAGATTTGACACTATATTTTTAATTCTATTATAAAATAGATTAAGTTAGCACTATGGTAAATTTAAATGGGTAATTATGGTTGCCAGCTCCATTGGAAATTGTAATTGAGATTATGAACATATCTTGAGGGAAAGAATTTTTTTGGGGAAAAAAAGGGGGGGGGGGATAAAAAGAAATTGTGGGGGGTCAATTTTTTCTCATTTCAGATTTCAAAAATTAAAAAGAATTATTCTTCAAATATTTTTTTTTTTTTCAAATTTCAAATAATGAAAAATTTCAAGAAGTAATCTTTAATTGCACAGTATGGCGCATTAGATTTGTAAAATCTCTGATCACATTTATGTATTTGTTATGCTGAATCTAACAGTGTATTTAGATTTTAAATTTTGGGTCCAGTTTTCAAATTGGTCTACATTAAGGTCCAAAGGGTCCAAAATTAAACTTTGTTTGATTTTAGCAAAAATTGAATATATGAGGTTCTTTAATATGCTGAATCTAAACATGTATTTAGATTTTTGATTTTTGGCCCAGTTTTCAAGTTGGTCCAAATTGGGGTCCAAAATTAAACTTTGTTTGATTTCAACAAAAATTGAATATATGGGGTTCTTTGATATGCTGAATCTAACCATGTATTTAGATTTTTTATTTGTGGACCCCGTTATCAAATTGGTTCATATTGAGGTCAAAAGGGTCCAAAATTAAACTTTGTTTGATTTCATCTAAATTGAATTATTGGGGTACTTTGATATTCCAAATCTAACCGTGTATTTAGATTTTTAATCTTGGGTCCTGTTTTTTAAATTGGTCTACATTAAGGTCCAAAGGGTCCAAAATTAAACTTAGTTTGATTTTAGCAAAAATTGAATTCTTGGGGTTCTTTGATATGCTGAATCTAAACATGTGTTTAGATTTTTTATTATGGGCCCAGTTTTCAAGTTGGTCTAAGATAGGGACCAGTATTAAAACTTTGTTTGATTTAAACAAAAATTGAATATATGGGGTTCTTTGATATGCTGAATCTAAACATGTATTTAGATTTTTGATTATGGGCCCAGTTTTCAAGTTGGTCCAAATTGGGGTCCAAAATTAAACTTTGTTTGATTTCAACAAAAATTGAATATATGAGGTTCTTTGATATGCTGAATCTAACCATGAATTTAGATTTTTTATTTGTGGGCCCCGCTATCAAATTGGTTCATATTGAGGTAAAAAAAAGTCCAAAATTAAATTTTGTTTGATTTCATCAAAAATTGAATTATTGGGGTTCTTTGATATGCCAAATCTAACCGTGTTTTTAGAATTTTAATTTGGGTCCCGTTTTTTAAATTGGTCTTCATTGAGGTCCAAAGGGTCCAAAATTAAACTTAGTTTGATTTTAACAAAAATTGAATTCTTGGGGTTCTTTGATATGCTGAATTTAAACATGTGTTTAGATTTTTGATTATGGGCCCAGTTTTCAAGTTGGTCTAAGTTGGGGTCCAAAATTAAACTTTTTTTGATTTCAACAAAAATTGAATATATGGGGTTCTTTGATATGCTGAATCTAACCATGAATTTAGATTTTTTATTTGTGGGCCCCGCTATCAAATTGGTTCATATTGAGGTCAAAAGGGTCCAAAATTAAACTTTGTTTGATATCATCAAAAATTGAATTATTGGGGTTCTTTGATATTCCAAATCTAACCGTGTATTTAGATTTTTAATTTTAAGTCCCGTTTTTTAAATTGGTCTACATTAAGGTCCAAAGGGTCCAAAATTAAACTTAGTTTGATTTTAGCAAAAATTGAATTCTTGGGGTTCTTTGATATGCTGAATCTAAACATGTGTTTAGATTTTTATACGCCCGTTTACGGGACGTATTATGGTATACCGTTGTCCGTCTGTCCGTCTGTCCGTCCGTCCGTCTGTCCGTCTGTCCGTCCATCGTCAACATGTCGGACATTAACTCAAAAATGCTTTTACCAATTTGCATAAAACTTTGGTGAATTGTTTATATCTATTGACGTGAGCTCCCTTTCGTTTTTTATAAATTTTAGATTTTACGTTTCCGATTTATGGGGTTTTATTCATTAAAAAAAGGGGGATTTTCCAGTTTTCGGACAATAACTCAAGAATGCTTTCACCAACTTGCAAGAAATTGTGGTGAATTGTTTATATCTATTGACATGAGCTCCCTTTCGGTTTTTATAAATTTTAGATTTGACGTTTCCGAGTTACAGGGTTTTATTCATAAAAAAAGGTGGATTTTCCAGTTTTCAGACAAAAACTCAAAAATGCTTTCAGCAGTTCTTATGAAACTTTGGTGAATTGTTTATATCTATTGATGTAAGTTCCTTTTAGAATTTTATAATTTTTACTTTTACATTTCTGAGTTATTGAGTTTTATTCATTAAAAAAGGGGGGGATTTTCCAGTTTTTCGGTCAATAACTCAAAAATGCTGTCAGCAATTCTCATGAAACTTTGGTGAATTGTTTATATCTATTGATGTAAGCTCCTTTTTGATTTTCATAAATTTCTAATATGACATTGAGAATTAATTGAACTTTATTTGTTTATAGTCTGACAACAGATTTACTAAGTATTGTGCAACAGCACAGTGTATTGCACAACAGCAAGAAATCTTTAATTGAATATAAATTCAATTCATATAACCAATTTCAAGTTCTTTGACTACAATTATTCAGAAACCTATAATATGTCAAATATTTAATTACAATCCAAATTCAGACCTGTATCAAGCTTGAATATTGTGTCAATTTTTGCCCCAACTGTTCAGGGTTGGACCTCTGCGGGTGTATCCAGCTGCGCTCAGCGAAGCAGTTTATTGATTATGGGCCCAGTTTTCAAGTTTGTCCAAGTTGGGGTCCAAAATTAAACTTTGTTTGATTTTAACAAAAATTGAATATATGGGGTTCTTTGATATGCTGAATCTAACCATGTATTTTGATTTTGGACATTGGACCATAATAGGTAAATTAAAAAAATTCAAGTTCTTAGACCACATTCTTTCTGTGTCAGAAACCTATGCTGTGTCAAATATTTAATAATCCAAATTCAGAGCTGTATCAAGCTTGAATGTTGTGTCCATACTTGCCCCAACTGTTCAGGGTTCGACCTCTGCGGTCGTATCAAGCTGCGCCCCAGCGAAGCATTTTATTCAGTGTTGTATTTGTCAGTCAGATACCATTTTACTCGGATTTACTCATTACTTGTTGGCAATTTTTGGCATAAAGCTAGCGGTTGAACAAAATGAACACCGCTATCATGAATAATAAAGATGAAAATAAATTTTGCGATCGTTTGGGAATTTTACTCCCAAAATTGGGAAAAATGTAGGATAATTGCCATTGGGAATGGGTCGAATACCGGACCCTGTGGAATGCTAGAAAAATCCATGGTGTTTTGGTCTGTTTTTCAATTACCATAAGCAATAGCTATAGGTCAACTATATTTGGTGTATGAAATAATTGTTAGGTGTACATGTCTGTCTGACAGGACTTATCTAACATTGACCTCATGTGATACAACCTTTATCTTTAAGAATTTTAACATAAAATCAGTGGTCAGTAAAGCAGGCGAGACATTTCAGGGTGTGTACTCTTGTCTTTAGTATTATCAGTTTTATTGCCGGTAACATTCAAATCCCATCAAGGACTGCAAAAGGGAAGTAAAAAAACAATCTGTTCAAACCTAAAATATAAGGTATAAACATGGGGAAATGTTCCTTATAATTAATTTTGTTGAGTTATTTCAATAATATTTATAAAATTGAACCAATTAACAGCCCATTTCATTCAAGAAGTGAGGAAGTAGAAAGAAAAATGCAGAAATTCCTTCCTTGTGCTATATGACAGCAGTGGTGCATGATCATATCCCACAGAGTCAGACCTCAAACAAAATGATAAGGATCAGTTAAGCAGTGTGATACTGGTACATGCATTCCGAAATACTACGTTTTATTTGCTGCTGTAAAATTTTGAGGTGTTGATGAATAAGGAATATGAAAAAAAATGTACCATAGAGTTTTTTTTTTCACCAGATTAGAAACTGCTTACTGATGACTTTGGAAGATACTAACTCCTTAAAATGGATTGTCAGAAAAACACCAATGCATGTTCATGTACCTGTAAATCTGTGACCTAGCTCTGCATGAAAAAGAAATAAAAAAAAAAAAAAAAAATTATTTATAAATTGAAGGAACTGCATTATGTGAGTAGGGACACATTTCAAAGATCAAATCTCGATTTTAAATATTTTAAGATTTTGAAAGAATCCTGATACACATGTAATATCTGAATTTTTATACCATCTTTTTGATGTGTAAAGAAATTTTAATATTTTATAGGAGTGTTCCTGTTATTGGTAAAGCACAGGTTGATATAGGAGATAAAGATGTTTCATCTATACCTGATATTGTCTTTCCAGATATTACCAATTCAGACATACATCATTCTAATTTAAAGATATTAGCAGTTTGTGAGGTATATGTTAACTATAGAACTGCAATGGAACTCATTGCAATATGCTTAAAAATGGCTGAATTTGCTGTTTCCCTCAAACACAGATCAAGATCAAATTAGGGTGCCGTCACTTTACTGTTCTCAAGTTCTCCCTTAAGCTTTAAAAACGGGTAAATTGCTGAATTTGCTGTTTCCTCCCTCCAACTTTAATTTGCCTGAACAAATGTTTTCAAAGTTACACACAATGCCATCAAACACAGATCAAGTTTGAATTTGGGTAGCGTCTCTTTCACCTTTCTTGAGTTATGTCCTTTTATGAATGGAAGAAAATGCTAAATTTGCCGTTAATTTACAATTGGGGGCAACTGTTAACCATGGACACATTCTTCTTTTATTTCTTGAATGATTTACGTAGGGTTATTTGTCCCCTTGCACCTTTTATTAAAAGAACTGCATTTTTCCTTACCTTAGTGCATAGTATTTATTTTTGTGTGATCTGAAAACGATTGTAGCACATAAACTTACATAACGTTACATGAAATATATGTAACTATTCATTTGGGAACTCACACCCGCACTAGGAATGGGGACTATCTTGCACTTACTTTGTCCTTCCTGTCACTCATTCATCAAAAATAAATATTATTGTTAGCCATGTCTCATGAACTGCTGAGCAGAATGACTTCAAATTTGGTCAGCAGCTTGAAAGTGACTAATTGTTATATGTGATCACCTTTGGATCTCTCAAAAACCTTCTTTCTGTTTCCACTACTTTACATTGCGAGTATGCTTAGCATAATAACCCATTCAACTATTTGTAAGAGTAGTTTAATGAATTGATATAGTAATATGACAGTTCTTAACCAAAACATGACTAAAGTTTGAAATTTGAAATTGTCCTCACCAGAGAACATAAATTTAAATCCATGTAATAAATATTTATTGCACCGCGGGTAAATTATGACATTGTGATTGGTTTGACGCCGTCACGTGGTGACCCCCTATGGATATGGGGTTAGACACAAACCAGCTTGTTGTAAATACAGCGGGAACGTAACATATTTCATGTATTATAGTGTAAAGTCTTTGTGACGCTACACTTGTTTACTTGGGCATTCTAGATTGATTACAATTTATAACATGTAGAACATTTTCTTCAAGTATTCTCTTCACAACTAGCCCATGCTTGAAGAACCTCTTCAACAGGCCATTATAATCTATGCAAATTTTTTGAAAAAGCAGCATCTGGTCTGTAGCTACAAAATATATCATGAAGACTGAATATTGAAATTTTTCTTGCTGTATGCTTCATGTGTAAGAGGTAAGGGATCACAGCTGAGGAACACAATCTTAAAACAACCTTTTTATTTGATTGTTTTTCTAGGTTAAGAAAGAATTTAAAGCAAAGGAAGACTTGGTTATTTCCTTACAGTATAGTACAAGGTCAGGGAAAAAGAAAGTAATAGGTAAAGAGCAAGTTATATGGCACCTTGATGATAGATTACAGGGCAAAATTTCTGTTCGTATCTCATTTACTCTTATTTCAGTGGCAGCCCAAATTTCCCGACTTTCATTCCAATTGTTAATTGTTTCCTGCCTTGAAATTACATGGAATATTTGCCACTGGACATTAAGCAACTAACAATCAATTATTAAAAATGGTCGTTTATAAAAAGAATTATAAAGAAATTAAGGTTTCAACTCATTCAGGCAAAGTTGACCTTAGTGGATTTGGCTATTTTATAGGTCCTTTTCAGTCATATAGCTCTTCAAATGTTTCTGTTCTTATACATCTTTGGCTTTCAAATATTCGACTTTGAGCGTCCTGGATGAAAATCAATCCATAAAAGCGCTTCAGACGAATGAAATTCATACAGTGTAACATAACAAATAACATGTACCTCAAGTACAGAACAATTCAAAATACAACCACCCAAACTTAATGATCATTAATATATCTTACCAGCACAACTTTGGACAGGCTTTGTCTACTTAACATACAAATCAACTGTACCTCAAGTACAGACCAAATCAATCTAGATACAACCGAAACAAATAACAATAATGTCTTTTACCTTCAACTTTCAACAGGCTTTGTCTACTTGACGTATATATCAACTGTACCTCAAGTATAGACAAATTCAACCTAATTACAACCGAAACAAATAACATTTATGTCTTTACCTTCAACTTTCGACAGGCTTTGTCTACTAGAGATACACATCAACTGTATCTCAAGTACAGACCAATTCAATATAAACCACCCAAACCTAATGATCATTAATATATTTTACCAGCACAACTTTGGACAGGCTTTGTCATACAAATCAACTGTACCTCTAGTATAGACCACAAATAACAATAATGTCTTTTACCTTCAACTTTCGACAGGCTTTGTCTACTAGAGGTACAAATCAACTGTACCTCAAGTACAGACCAATTGAATCTACAAACACCGATACCTAAAGAACAATAATGTGTTTTACCATTTTTTACTACATGTTAATTACATATAAATTTAACAGACAGACACTATCCCATTCAAAATATTCACCTATTTAGAATTATATTGCTATCTGGCATATAAACTGATATTTGAAGAAAAAAATGCACACTTAATTTTATTAAATATATACATAATTAAATTTTGTATAATGAATCAATTTTATACAACATAAATACACATTTATATACAATGTATTGTTTAAAGACAGAAATCACTGAAATTTGTAATTTAATTTGAATACAAGTAGATGAACAATATATCACATAAATGGAGAGGGTATAATAAGACCACTTTTGGCCAAATGAATTAGAATAATACAAAGTATTTTAAACCATTAAATAACGTCCTTCAGATATTTAAACATACAGAAATAAGAAGATGTGGTATTATTGCAAATGATCCAACAGGGACCAGATACAAAATGACATAGGTGTAAGCAGTTTGTCATCATAAAGCTTTGAACAATGAGCAAAACCCTTACTGCATAGCAAACTACAGGCCCAAGAACACAGTTATTTCTTAGTGCACTTCTTAGACAATAAATGGAAATTAAAAAAATCCAACCTGCACTTTCTCAATAATATTTTTACAGTGTGGTGTACTACTTTTGGGACAAATTATATCAATATTATAGAAAACTTCTTCAGCTCTAACTCAAAATATGGATAATTTTATGTTAAGGGGGTCTTGAATTCTTTTGACAGCTTCCGAAATACTAATTTTTAACCTTTTTTAGCCGGACCAAAATCACTACTTTACTTTAAAATTATGACCCAAACTTTTTTTACAGTGTAGTTTCATCCCCCTACTTAATATTTCAGGCATAAAACATGAAGAAATAAATTTGGAAAGTGCATAAAAATAATGGAAAGTAACACACTGTCCACACTAGGGACTATATTTGTAGACACCAAAATCAAGGGACGATAACTGTGTTCCCGGACCTATAACAGTACACACGCTGAAGTGTCTTGCCTTCTTTACTGACCATTGATTTTATGTTGAAAGTCTAAAAAGATAAAGGTTTTACTACAATAGTATCACATAAACTTCACATTTTTCAAGATCTATGACAATGAGGTCAAGGTTAGATAAATCCTGTCAGACAGACATGTTCACCGTGCAATTATTCCATACACCAAATATTGTTGACATGTTGCTTAATATGGTAATTTGAACAGATCAAAATACAAAAACTTAACATTACTGTGTGTTTGTTTATTCTACATTGGATAGAGGTCCAGGGGGAGGGTTGACATCTCACAAAACATGTTTAACCCCGCCGCATTTTTGCGCCTGTCCCAAGTCAGGAGCATCTGGCCTTTGTTAGTCTTGTATGTTTTTTAATTTAAGTTCATTTATATGTTTTGGAGTTTAGTGTGACGTCCATTTTCATTGAACTAGTACACATTTTGCTTAGGGGCCAGCTGAAACCCGCCTCCGGGTGCGGGATTTTCTCGCGGAGTTGAAGACCCATTGGTGGCCGTCATCTGTTTTCTGCTGTTTGCTCGGGTTGTTGTCTCTTTGACACATTCCCCATTTCCATTCTCAATTTTATTGACCAAATGAACCATAAAAAATGAGGTCAAGGTCCGATGATACCAGCTAAAATGACCTGTGCACCTTACAATCATTCCATACACCAAATATAGTTGACATATTGCTTAAATTACTTCAAAACAGACCAAAACACTTGACATTGACCAATGAACCAAGAAAATAAGGTCAAGGTCAGGTGAAAGCTGCCAGACTGACATGTACCCTTAAAATCATTCCATGCACCACATATACTTGACCTAATCATGTAACTTTAACCTTGATCACTGATCCATGAAATGAAATCAAGGTCAGGTGAACCCTGTCTGACAAACATGTAGACCTTGCAAGGAACCCATACAACAAATATAGTTATCCTAGTACTCATATAATGAGTGAGAAATTCAATAACAAATAAATGAGGAATGTGTCCATGGGACACAGATGATGCCCCCGCTTGCATATAACGTTATAAAGGGACACAACTCAAGAAGGGTAAAAGTGACGCTACCCAAATTTGTACTTGATCTGAGTTTTGTGGTAAAAAAAAAGTTTTATTTTTATTCAACCAATTGTCAAGGACAATGAACATATGACAGACAGAAACTTCTTAACATATGGAATCTTCATACAAGGTATGATGTATCCAGGTCTTCTACCTTCAGATATAAAAAGCTTTATACAAATAGTTTACGACGCAGTTGCATTGTTATCCCTATGTCTTGCATGCTGTGACTTTTGTTGCAGGTGAGACAAAAAAGTAACTGACATGATAAAACATAACAAAAATTCAAACAAGACAACGAACAGCCTAACTCATGTGTAAAACAACAGAAAAAACAAAAATTGATATACAGTAACAAACAATAACCACTGAAGTACAGGCTAATGACTTTGGACAAGCACATACAAAAATAAATAATATGTACATAACATGAACTGATAAATTTAATATTTTTATGCAATATTAGTGCCCTTAAATGGATTTTATCATATTATGTCTTAGTAAAAACTCATCATAGATACAGATAAAACTCATCCTGAAACATGCACATCAATAATCTAATTTGTTCATACTTTTTAAATCATAACAAAATATCTTCCAAATATAATGAATAACTTTATAATTTACAAAATACTCACAAAACAATTATAGGCCAAGCAGTGTGTATTCTAAATCAACAGAAAAAACATTATATACAAATTATCTGCTATTGACAATAATTTACCCGTAGCCTTTCTTAAAATTATGTATTGTAATGATTAACAAATTCATTTGTACATGTTTACTATCAAAACATGTGCATAATCTGGATAACAAATATGTATTTAATAAATAAATGTGTATATGAACCTTCTAGAATAATAAAAATCTACTAATAAGGTTAAGGTAAAATGCTTTTAAAATCAACAAAAATTATTTAATATGGTCAAAATGCAATAACATAACATTAAGGGTTCCATTTTTACTGCACCAGATATGCATTAACTAATGTCTCTTTAGTGATGCAATCTAATCTAACAAAAAATGTGTTCAAAACAAAACACAAGTAGTTGCAATTTGTTCACCAAATAAAAACAGAATATTTTGAAACTTTTAAAACAACACCAATTTTATCTCTAACCAATTTAATATGCAAAATAATTAAGTGTTGCATTAAGATTTATGGTGTATTGATATGCACAACGTACTCCTACAGACAAGATTCTTCCTTATTTCACATATAAAATAAAATAGGAGGCACAAATTGCAATTCAGATTATATCAAAATTTAGTTAAAGCCTAAATGACTTACTGGTAAACATTAGCAGATATACAACTGTTTTATAAAAAGCAAAGTAAGAGAAAAACTTGATTTAAGCTCAATAGAACTGTCAAATCTTAGTCAAAACCCTAATTAAGCAAATTTTTTAAACAGTTTTCAAGATTAAGGCAAAAGACACAAGAAATTGGTAAAAATTGTCAATTATGGGCAACTGAAAATTTGGGGGGGGGGGGGGGGGGGGTGGATGGAGGAGGGATGGAAAGAAGATAAATCTTGTTATTCTAGACATTTTTGCCCTGCTTTTATTTTCAAGAAATTAGACAATTACTTACAATTTATTCGAAACCTGATTAAAAGGAAGGATAGGTGCAAATACTTTGTCAAAAAGGCTGTATGTACAACTGATGAACTTAAAAAATTTATATAAGTTGATGTGAAACAATTAAAAAATTAATTAATGCTAAAATCAAGTGAATTTCAGCTTACATTAATTTCTTTTGTGAAGACCATTTACAATTACAATTTCATATGAAAGCTAATTTCATATCAGATTTAAATAACTCAAATTGGTAAAACATGGTGGATAAATAAATAAATATTTACATATATAAACAAATACTGTTTAGGGAGCAAGATAAAATTCATACATGTCTGATGTTGCTCTTTTTCCTGTCAAAAATAATACAAAAATTCATCAAAATATCAAAATCAACATAAAAAAAATTAGGGTTAGTCAGGAAACCCTAAGCCTTAAACAACAAATATATTTATTGCCCTAAGCTATAAGCTTTATTTCAACAAAGGTTTTAATAAATAATAGCTGAAAGTATGATTTTAGTTTACTCACAAAAGGACACCTTACTCTAAGAATGGTTTTACTGCTAGATGGGAAAAGTCAATGGATTGCAATATTTCTATACCCAAGTCAACCCTAAATGTTATCAATCACTCTATATATGTGCATTGATGAACATAGAAGCAGGTTAAAAGCAACAAATTAATACGAATCATATCTTGCAAATATGGTATTTGAAAATATCAATTGAAACTGGCCCTGTTTATAGAAACTGAGCTACTTATACAAAAATATAAAAGCAATCAAAACAAACTTAAAATATGGTAGATACTGCTTAGTCTACATTCTCTATCTGCTGTTCTTTTCTGCTGATGCAACATGGAGAAAACTGAACAAATCCAAGTGTAAGTAATGGTGTTATTAATTCTTTTCTATCTGCAGCCTTTAAGTAATTATATGGTCTGCTATAGTACACAACAGGACTGTTCACACACTGGTTCCCGGTCATTATTTCTTCAAACTGTACAGTGTTACATTGGAAATAGGAAAATGTTACCTGCATAAAAAAAAAATCAAAATGAATGGCAACTTCAATTTACAAATCTGAAATAAATCATAAACATCTTAACTGAACAAAATTGCAGATACCTCAATTTGTTCATGCTTTATATTATACAGTAGTTTAAGTTAAAAATAAAAGTAAATTAGATAATCAAACTTAACCAAAAAAGTTTTTGAAACAAAAGAAATTACTAAATAGATTCATCTAAAAAAAGTTTCTCCTTGTTATGCAAACCTTGATCCTAAATTTAATTGTTGATTGATGCTTTAGGGGAATTTTCAAATAGAGGTATATCATTTTTCGAGACAAAAATTGGTGTCATTCTCATTGGAAAAAATACATTTCCTGTATTTAAATATACATGTTCAAAAAAATTGTACGGTTAAATAATAATATAATTGGGAATAAACAAATACATTTCTTGCAGAAAATGCTCTAGTTAGAGTTAAGTCATTTTGCTAACTGTTTAACGCAAATTATACCGGTAATTGTAATTTCAATAAATGACTTCATGCAGATTTTATTTTTCCTCTTTTCTTTGAAAAAACAGACGTCTTATAAATCCTTAAATATTCACCTTTGACACATAATAAACAGAATGATTTCATATAGTGTAGATCAAACGTAATTATAGGTAAATTACTGTAAACTTACACAAGCATAAGATACTTATATAAAACAAAATTCTTATCAACTGATTCAATTGATGTACAAATACTTTTTCAAAATAATTCATAAATAGTAAATCATTATAAATTTTGATTTACAAAGGAACTATATGCAAGTGTATATCTAAAATAAAAGGGTTGTTCGTCCAATCTTTTCTAAATTCAAGGGCAAATAAAATGTCAAAAGTTGGCAGTTGATGATTAAAATGGTGTAGAAAGATTCTACAAATCATAAAAACACATTATAAGTTTCATGATATGTCTTCAACTTAGTATTCTGCACCATCTCCAACACCAGAGTGATCTCATAAATCCAGCATGGCTGAATCAATAAAACCACTGCAAGCAAAACGCATTTTTATTGTGCCATTCTTATTCTTATCTGGTGTCTATTTGAAAGCAGAAGTCATTGATATCATCTTTCACTGTGGATAGACAGGATAATGTTCCATGTCTTGGGCATTCGTCTTTACCAAACAGAATACCTTTATTTCCTCCAGATGTCGTTTGATCTGTTTTAGAATCCTGCAACCAAAACCAGACGTCTTTAATCATGTTTTCAAAAATTAAATTGCCATAAAAGTTATTGCCTTTACTGAGGACATATTATTGCTAAAAGTTTTGAGATGTTCTGGTGTTTTAAAGTGGACACGCTTTGCAAATAATAATAATTGAACACGTTTGGATCATTTAGGATTTTGAGGACACGTTTGGGCATTGTTAAGGAAATTGACACTTTTGGAAGTGTTACATATATCATGTCTGTCTGAATTTCAAAATTATAAAGAAATAACATTTTCATTCCACTTATTAAGCTTGCTCATGTTGTTTCATTTCTTGTTGTAGCAAGATGTTGGTAAGGAATCTTACTGCTATTCTCAATTTAAAAAAAACAATATCTTACTGGTTTTACATGTATGTACATGTATTGTAACACAATAGTCCAGCAATGTGAAAAAAAACCCTGAAAAGTCAGTCCTCATTCTGCAGTATGTTAAGGTTAAGCACAAAGTGGTTAAAGTGACAGTCTTGTCAATAGTCATGATAGTAATGGTCAAAATTTATTTTCACCATATTTTTTAAAGAATTTACCTTCCCTTTAGGTTACACATTCTGCAAAACTTCTCCAGCATTGTTGTGAACCTCATTTCTTCCACTGTTCTAGAAGTCAACAACAAATCATAAAGTATTTCTTTTAGGTCATTTTGAAAGTCATGTCTTCCAGCTTCAATATGATATATCAAAACTCTGAAAAAAAAATCCTAATTATTTATATAAGAACTGGACACTGATTAGAGGTGCATAGAATCTGCTGTCGATTTGGAAACTTGTTCTATAATCTATTATTAAGTCAGACTTGGTGTCTATTTGAGTCGTACCTGTACATATATGCAAAATCAAATAAATGGGGAATATGTCCATGGGACACAGATGATGCCCCCGCTAGCATATCATATAAAGTTATAAAGGGCAGGGTTTCCCCGAGTCAATTATTTTTTTCGCCAACTAACATAAATATATTTTTCGTATAAAATTTTCCTTCTTTCTAACCCCCCCCCCCCCCCCATTTACTTTTTAAAAGATACTGTAAAAATAGCAATATAGAAATCATAATTTTGACTTCTGGGACACAAGATTCATCTTCAAAAGTTTATCGGATATATATTTCCCTTCCAGTTGAAGGATAAAGACTAAAGGCAGAGACTTTTCTTACTTTTGAACAGGTTTGGAACAACCCTCCAAATGTGGGATATCCCTTAAATAAGGGACTGTCCCTCAGACAAGGGATCATTTTGCTGTTGTAGAAAGGTAAAAAGAAAAATTTAGCTTTTTTTTAACTTAAAAGGGGAAAAATTCATTATATTTGGAACAACTTTTCTTAAAGAGGGGTCCACTTATTTTTAAAAATAAAGAAGATACATGTATAAGTCCAGGAATATTACAAAATTCTTGGACATGTTTTGACCATATAATACCAGATAGTTGTATAGTTCTTTGGGAAAAGTTTCTTCAAATGATATGAATATGTGCCCTTTTGTACTAAGAAGTGGTTTTTACAACAAAAATATTTTTTTTTTATCACTTGAAATTGATCCCTGATTTAAGGGATAGTCATTACATTGAAGGGTTACTTATTTGAGGGGTTGTTCCCAACCTGTTGAATATATTTCTTCATAACGACAGTTTTCTTTTCCGGACCATCGTAAATGAAAAAGTTGAGACGTAAAAATATGCTTGAAACACGTGCGTCGCCAAAACGAAAAATAAATAAGATGGATGAAATCAAATCATTATATATATTTCTTTCGCCAAATTCTTTCGCAAATGATGAATTTTAATCGCCACAATTTTTATTTTTTTGCAAAATGCGAAAATGGTGAACGCCAGCGGTAACCTTGAAAGGGACATAACTGAAGAACAGTAAAAGTGACGCTACTCAAATTTGTACTTGATCTGAGTTTTGTGGTTATATGTATTGTGTATAAGTTTTATAACATTTCGTTGAGGCAAACTGAAGGTAGAGAACGGAAACAAAAAATTCAGCAATTATTCCATTTGTAAAGGGGCATAACTCTAGAACAGTAAAAGTGACCCCACCAAAATTCAAACTTGATCTGTATTTTGTGGTATTAAGCATTGTGTATAAGTTTCATAACATTTGGTTGAGGCTAACTTTAGTTAGAGAATGGAAATGAAAACTAGTATTTTTTCCATTTGTAAAGGGGCATCATAACTCTAGAACAGTAAAAGTGACACTACCAAAACTCAAACTTGATCTGTGTTTTGTGGTAATAAGCATTGTGAATAAGTTTCATAACATTTGGTTGAGGCAACCTAAACTAGATTTGATTTGATTTTTGGTGTTTTAACGCCACTTTTAAGCACCGCTTTTGGGCTATTTCGTGGCGGCCAATTTTTATTGGTGGAGGGAGCCGGAGTGCCAGGAGAAAACCACCGACCTGTGATAGGAAAACTGACAATCCTAGTCAATTTAGATTGGAGTCGAGTGCACCCGCACGAGCGGGGTTCGAACTCACAACCTCAGTGTTGACTGGCTAGTGATTACAATAGTAACTACTTAGACCACTCGGCCACTGAGGCCCCTCCTAAACTAGAGAATGGGAACGAAAAATTCAGCAATTTTTCCATTTGTAAAGGGGCATAACTCTAGAACGGTTTAAGTGACGCCACTGAAATTTAAACTTGATCTGTGTTTTGTGGTAATAAGCCTTTTGTAGAAGTTTTATAACATTTGGTTGAGGCAAACTAAAGTTAGAGGACGGAAACCAACTTTGGGACGTAAGCCAAAATATTTATCAAATGGAATTTATTTTAATATGTTGCATTAGAATGGAGATATCTGTATTGTATTTCGTTGCTAGGTAAACTCAATTTGTGACAGTCAAATCTACGTTTCACGAAGGCCAAGCTTAAAATACAATACAGATATCTCCCAATTACAGATATTTGAATTTTAATGAGGGCCGGTAAATAATGAAAACTTATAAATGTAAATAAAATGCTCCGCTGGGTGCAGCTTGATACGACCACAGAGGTCGAACCCTGAACAGTTGGGGCAAGTATGGACACAACATTCAAGCTTGATACAGCACTGAATTTGGATTGTGATTAAATATTTGACACAGCATAGGTTTCTGACACAGAATGAATGTGGTCTAAGAACTTAAAAATATTTTTAATTTACCTATTCAAACCATATCATTATTATTTGCTTTTATATATAAATCAGAAATAACCAATTTAAAATGGAAAATTTTAAAGAAAAAAAATGGAAAAAAAGGAAAAAAAAATCCCTCCCCCCAAATTTTTTGAACCCCCTTATGATTCATCACCCCCAAACTCAATCCCAGCCTTCCCTTTGTGGTATGGTACATTGCAGTACAATTTCAGAGAGATCCATATATACACTTGAACACAAGTTATTGTCTGGAAACTAGAAAAATGCTTGTTTTTAGGCCCCTTTTTGGCCCAAAATTCCTAAACGTTCAGGGCAATTACCCCCAAACTCAAACCAAGCTTTCCCTTTGTGGTATGGAACCTTGTAGTACAATTTCATAAAGATCCATACACTTACGCACAAGTTATTGTCCTAAAACTAGAAAAATGCTTGTTTTTTGCCCCTTTTTGGCCCCGTATTCCTAAAATTTTGAGGCAATTACCCCCAAAATCAATCCCAGCCTTCCCTTTGTGGTATGGTACATTGCAGTACAATTTCAGAGAGATCCATACACTTGAACACAAGTTATTGTCTTGAAACTAGAAAAATGCTTATTTTTGGCCCCTTATTCCTAAACGTTGTGGGCAATTACCCCCAAACTCATTTTCAGCTTTCCCTTTGTGATATGGAACCTTGTAGTACAATTTCAGAAAGATCCATACACTTACACACAAGTTATTGTCATGAAACTAGAAAAATGCTTGTTTTTTGCCCCTTTTTTGGCCCCTAATTCCTAAAATTTTGAGGCAATTACCCCCATAATCAATCCCAGCATTCCCTTTGTGATATGGAACCTTGTGGTACAATATCAGAGAGATCCATACACTAACACACAAGTTATGTCTGGAAGTTACAAAAATGCTTATTTTTGTCCCCTTTTTGACCCCTAATTCCTTAACTGTTGGTACCATTATCCCCAAAATCAATCCCAACCTTTCTGTTGTGGTATTGAACCTTATGGTAAAATTTCATAGAGATCCATTCACTTAAACTAAAGTTAGAGTGCGAAAACCAATGTGTCTTCGGACGACGACGACGACAACGACGTTGACGCCAACGTCATACCAATATACGACCACAAAAATTTTTTTGCGGTCATATAAAAATTGAAAAAAAATGGTAACATTTGTCATTTCCATGTGTAAGGGCAATAACTCCCATAAGAAGTTGTCTGACAGTTTTACAGCTGTGAGGTTTAATTATGCATACAAATTTTCGAAAATGCTAAAAATATCACTGATACCTTTATCTTACATTCATTTAGAGTATTTTCCTGAAGAAATAACTGTGAAGAACTTCTTAAAAGCAATCGTGCTTTGAAAACGTACACAGATTTAACATATCCGTCTCTGGTCCATGTTTAACATTGTCAAGTCAACATCCAGTATTAGAAAAATGTGATTTTTAAAATATAAAGCAAAGTTGTTGAGAACATAATGTATGTCACCATGCTGGTGACGATTTGTCTCGGTGCTGAAGTGTCTAGAATGCTGCAAACTTGACACATTCAGTCAGGGGTACTACTTGTACAAGTTATTATTATCCACCCCTAGTTGATCCGGCCCTATAATAAAATAATAATGAATAATTAACTTCGGCGGATTTGGTGACATATCTGAATCAGTATAAATGGAATTTGTAAAAAGTATCGATGAATAATGACAGCAGGTAAGTGAAGGATGCCTAATATTACCTTTAGCATGTTTAGAGAAACATTCAGATGAATTATTTTAAATCGATACAAAAATGAGTAATCAGTATGATTTGTACAATTTGTTAAGCAGCATCGATATCAGTATATGAATATGAAGTTTTTTTCCATGATAACTCAGAATACAATTGGGAAAAGTTTATATTCAATTCCGACACATAGAAGAGATAAATAGATATTTACAATCCACTGGAACACATAATAATGTAATTACCATAATGATCATTAGTCTATACATTTGTAATTGGTTTGTTTATTCAACAATTGTCTGATGATCGTGAACCAAAGTAAGGCTGGTCGTAATCACTTAATTCAATTAAAATCATAGCTATTAAAATTTACTAAGAGCTAATTTCCTAATTCTTGTAGAGTAAAACTTTGGTGGCTTGCTTGCTTTGTTTGTATAAACTTTTAACTCAAGCTTTGACATCTTCAAACAATATATATAGGCATAGTTAAACCTGTATATATTATATTTACATTTAATTGGACGTTATCCCAATAAAATTGTACAATATACAAACAAAGCAAGTAAGTAAGCTAACCTGAAAGTCTTGCTCTACATGCATTAGGAAATTAGCTCTAAATAAACAATTCACAGGGCCGTAACTAGGCCTTGGGAACAGACGAGGCAGGGGTTTGGGAGCCGCCGATTGAGGCCCCCTGGCCGAAAATTGTAACATTATGGTTCGAAATATATCTTGTTACCTCCGTTGTTTGTATCATATTTATCGTTTTTGTTTCATATTTACCATATTAAGAACTGTAATAGTCTATCAGAGCCGGTTGACAGATATTTGCCTCGAATTTTGTACCATCAATTATATAAAATTTACAGTAGGTTATGTGTCTGATAGTAGAAAATGCGGGACAAGTGTGTGTGGTCAACGCTTCATTAAAAATAACACACATTTTCAATAACACTTTAATAAAGCGCAAAGAGTGGAACCTAGTCACTGTCTGTGAATGCTAGTTTAACCTTTCTTGTGCCACTATGATCCCATCATCTGACTACTTTCTTTGAATTGAATAATTAATTTTTTTTGCTAATTCTATAAACATGATAAATGCATGTGCGTATTGCTGTGTGTTTGTTTTTCTTACATTGGCTAGAGGTATAGGGGTGGGTTGAGATATCAAAAAACATGTTTAATTTTTAGTTCATTTATATATTTCAGAGTTTTATAGTATGACGTCCATTATCACTGAACTAGTACACATTATTGTTTAGGGGCCAGCTGAAGCACGCCTCCGGATTCGGGATTTTCTCGCTGTACTGAAGACCCATTGGTGGCCTTCGGCTGTTTTCTGCTCTTCGGTCGGGTTGTTGTCTCTTTGACACATTCCACATTTCCATTCTCAATTTTATTACACCCGAATCAATAATGATACAAATTAAATACTCTCTAGTCACCTTTACCATGGTTAATTGTGCGACCGTCTTTATTTCGCAAGCCCAAAGTATTCCCACAATACTCCATGGAAATTCAAAGTATCAAGCAATCAAATTGTCATTCTGCCAAGGTCTTGTCCTGTCCGTTTAACATTTGAATGGAATAATCACATAACTTGCTCTCTATATATAGCTAAAAGAAAGCCTACTTCATGTACTTGCCGTTAAACCAAACAAATCCTCCATCCATCCAAAATAAATGTTTTGTTTTCGAATAGCAGCCAGGTTTGTAGCAAAACATTTGAAAATGCCTCAAATCTTCATTTTAATTTGAAAGAGAACTACATACAAATTGTGGGGTGTTTAGGTATTCATGTGTGATCTGTGAATGCTTCTTTAATAATATTAACCTAGCAAGGTGAAGAATTCGAACTATTTTAATTTTGATTTACTTTGCGAACTGATAACGTTGGAAATATCCATTATCAATAATTCATTTTCACGTGAAATAAATAATTACAGAACCAAATGCCGGTTTACTGGCGATGGTAATCAGATACAGAGATATTGATACCTTACGTTGAAATAAAAGTACAGAAGCTGCACGTCAACATAAATTACTATTCGAAGTATGCATTACTTAATTCTTGATGTTAAAATGCAAGGATGTGTTCTACCCTCTGCATGCATGCCTAACTTTCTCCATTTTCTTTTTTTCCCTTATTATTTTTTTTTTGCCAGCAATTGCCTCGTCTGCCTCATTGTAGTTACGGCCCTGATTCAAGGTCTTTATAGTTGGATCTTTTATTAGAAGTTCTAATAACGTTTGTCAGGACCTCAGCAGGAATATCATCTCTTCCTGCTGCTTTTCGAAGATAAGCATGAAATACATGTACAGCTTTTAAGACTTCTTCTTATATCTATCTATAATAATATTCAAGATAATAACAAAAAACTGCAAAATTTTGTTAAAACTACCAATTTGGTGGCAGAAACCCAACAATGGGTTGCTCGATTCGTCTGATAATTTCAGGGCCGATAGATCTTGACCAATTGAACAATTTAACCCCATGTCAGATTTGCTCTAAAAGCTTTAGTTTTTAAGATATAAGCTAAAAACTGCATTTGACCCCTATGTTCTATTTGTAGCCATGGTGGCCATGTTTGACGATGGATCAAAACTTCGGAGTTTCAGAGAAGAAGATTTTTGAAATAGTTTATGACAACAGACGACGACGGACGCCAAGTGATGGCATAAGCTCACATGGGGCCCTTTGGGCTCCGGTGAGCTAAAAAGGGAGACAATGCCATTTAATATAAGGCAAAATAATAAAAAAAATCTTAAAGATCCATTATCTTTAATAAATATGTACAATGATGTATGGAAATGTTTGACACAAGCTTTCTGTTTTTTTGGTGGTTTTTTTTCGATTTTAAAGACTGAAAATAAAATATATTGACTCTGAAATTAAAATTTTGGGTTATATATTAAAACCACTATATACTCATGATACTGCACAGACTTTAAACCCATTGACAAGGATGATGGTGTCTAAGTAACTGCAGTTGAGAATACCAAACATGTTGAATGAGGGCATTTTTTTAAAGAAAATACAAATGTACTTTTAACCATGCTATTGACATTCTTATCTTTATCTATAATCATGATAATCATATTTTTTACTTTTCTTTATTTTCTGTTTTTTTATATTTTTGGTTTATTTTTCTATTTCAACAATTTCTTTATCATATTGGCTTGAATTTTTTTATTTTGTTCATCTAAAGTTCCTTTCTTAGTGGTCCATTTATAAACATGATAAAACATCATTTCCTTAAGCATGTTAAGTTCTAGTTCGTTAATATATGATCATGATGATAAACCTGTCATCCATACATGTTTACTACGCATGGATGGACTTACCGGACAACCGCACTTCTGTGAAAACAGAGGTGACCCATTTGTCTGATTGATTTTCAAATCTTTTCAGATATATGATTGCGGAAATAAGATAATAAAAAATGTACATAACATTGAGTTTTCAGTGAATAGATTCAAATCAAATTTGATGCAATTTTTATATAATAAAGAAGAAATATACACGATCAAAGCCTTAGATGGGCGGAGTTACCAGACTGCATCGTATTTTCATTTTTATTCCCTATAAATATTTTTTTATATTGGGGCGGATCGACTAAGGGCCCGATTGACATGAAAGCTACAAGAAGTACCTGACTGAGATTGCAGTAGTGAATGAAAAGATGCTAATTTTAATTTTACCTGGAACTACTACCCACAGTTTTCATCAACTCTTCATCTGAATCAGCATCAACTTTGGGAAGAAAGTTTTCAACAAGATATTCTCTAACTTTAACATGATTTTCCTGTTCAAGTTCTTTGACACTTGTGTCAAATGTCAAGTTAGCATTCAAATAATCCATCATCTTGATTAAATCTGCATCGAGGGGTGGCAAATCTGCATTTATATTTGAAAACATGTCGAAAAATTCATCAATGCTCTTCGTGGATGAAGGGTCGATCCAGTTCCAATTAATCTGAAGATTTTCTAGTTCGCTCATCGTCCAATCACTTGTTTCACGCGGAATGTAACTACTCAGTGCAGTTAATTTCTTCTGTTTATCGCTTGATGCGGAATAATAATCGCCATCTGATCTATTTGTCCACAGTGGATCATCTTCTGAATTTGAGCGGTGCCGTTTGCCAGGGGAAATCATAGAGAGGGGAGCCTAACTCGCTTCAGATGATACTCAGATAATGGCGGATTTATTTCGGAAATATCTAGATTTTACATAATAAATAAACATAAAGTCCGAACATACCGATAAATTATCCTGCTAATTCGATTGGCTTAAAGTTTTTTGGTGTTTTTATTTCGATAAGTGTATGAACCCTTGACCGGTTATTTGGGGTCTTCTTTTACAGTTTCAAAATAGGATAACAAATCATTGTCACGTGCTCGGGAAGCAGGACAAATCGCCCCACTGGAAAATCGCCCCACACCAAATCGACCCACTTTTTCACCAACTCGCCCCACCTTTAAAAAAATCGCCCCAAACTGGTTTACCAACTCGCCCCACTTTTGAAAAGTTTTAAATCCCGTTAATTTTTCTCCTGCCAACTCGCCCCAACTAATGAAAAAAGGTAAAATCTAGATGAATATATAATTTTCAGGTCTGCCAACTCTCCCCACTTAAAAACGAAAATTTATTAAATTATTTTTATTGACTATGAGGTGGCATGACTCAATTCATCAGGACTTTTCTATTTTTCATAAGTGGGGCGAGTTGGCAAGACTCAATTCATCAGGATTTCTCTATTTTTCACAAGTGGGGATAGTTGGCATTCACGTCACAGAAATACTGATACTCACTTCTTTCTGCTTTATTTTAACAAAAAGAAAAGAACTACAAAATAGATATAAGAAGATGTGGTATGAGTGCCAATGAGACAACTCTCCATCCAAGTCACAATTTGTAAAAGAAAAACCATTATAGGTCAAAGTACGGTCTTCAACACGGAGCCTTGGCTCACACCGAATAGTAAGCTATAAAGGGACCAAAAATGACTAGTGTAAAACCATTCAAACGGGAAAAGCATGTTTATCTAAGGTTTTCATAGGTATTGATTTTATTTATGAGTGGGACAGGAATATAGATATACAATCGGATTTTACCCTTTTTCATAAGTGGGGCGAGTTGGTAAACAAAAGTGGGGCGATTTTTCAGAAAGTGGGGCGAGTTGGTGAACAAGTGGGGCGATTAGGTGTGGGGCGACTTGCCAGTGGGGCGATTTTTCATGGATTCCGTGCTCGTGTGTGTTAAAGCACACGAATGCACTCCATAAAAGTGTTTTCTGCGTGTATTATAAAAATATGAAAATGATGGGGGGGAGTCTAATTGAAAATATTTCAGACTTCGAAATTACTTTCTCAAAAAAAGGCAGATTGTTTGTCTGTTCTTAATATTTCTTGAATTAATGTCTTTTTTTTCCCCTGACGATATCTAAAAACAAATTTAAGGAGGGGGGGGGGGGGGGGGGGTGTGAAATGTTTGATTCTAAATGTCTTTACAATCGTAAAATTTTCTTCAACGCGGATGAATCAATATTCAGCCAGAAATTTACATAAAATGTTTTTTTTTTTTATTTAAACTAATTTTCACCTGAGGAAAAAAAAGTGTCGGTGCTTTTACATAATTTTGATTTCGGGTACCAGGTAACACTGCATCCTCGTGTAAGCATTAATTTGATGAAAATCTTACAATTTTTGATGATTTTTAAATTACAAAAATGTCAATGTCCTGTTTTTAATTATAGATATCAATAATACTGCATTGGAAAGCCCTTGAAACTTGAAAATGATCCTCCGCCTCCATTAAAAACAATGACTAAAGAATGTGATTTGGTGCAAGTCGTCCAAATATGTTGGATATTAAAAAAGGGACTCCGTGTAGTGGTATTATAATATACTCATTGAAAGCTCTGAGAGTCTCATTAAATTATAGCCTCAGATAATAGCAGGCACTAGCTGCAATATTATCAAGTCAAAACTTCTTTTTTTTTTACCACATTATTCACATCTTTCCGTATTTATTCTCTGTTCTTTTTAATTCACTAAATTGACAATTTAACAACTAGACGATTCCACAATGTATATAAATATTGCGAGTATAAAATACAGTGGTTGGATTTAATCGAAATTTCGTATTTCAATCATATTATCATCCTGCCCTTAAAACTAGCTGTCCAATGTTTTTTAGAGAAGAACCTCTCATACATAGTGTTCATGCAAGTTGGCTACTTTATCTTCAGCATTGTTCACTGAATCAGCATAGGCGGATCTAGGCCCCCTTTAGAGGGACAAATTTGGTTGGTTATATCATCAGTAGGGAATCACTGATCCATGACTGTAACGGACCCCCTAATAAAAACTTCTGGGTCCGCCACTAGCTGGAATGGCTAATTGTTATGCACAAACTTTGAGGAAAATATAAATATTTGGCAAGGATGCCACTTTTTCATTAGGAAGTATCCAATATTTCGTCAATGAAACAAATCTGGAAAAGGGTTGAATCATCATTATCAGAGACATATATACATGTATATATATATGTGTGTCTCTTGTTGAATAATTTGTATATTTATAAAATCTGTATTGCAGATCTTTGATGAAAAAAAATAACCTTTTTAATTAATGACGATTTGAAGCTTGACATAAGAAACAGGTAGGCACCGTTTATAAAATATTTTTCTTTAATACCTATAGATTTAGATTGTATGCCTTTTGGGAGTTTTAAAATATATGTACCCTTATTTGCTAACATCAAGAACAGAGCTCTCCATGGAAGTAAGTATCTATAGACGCTGGTGTTACTCCAAAAAATGTTATCGTTCGCTGCCGACGAAACACCTTTCAATATCGTGAATATTTTTTAAACAATACGGATACAGGAATTAGCTGAGTTTCCAATTTACTTGGATACCAAAAATTCACTCCCACGTCCATGCATTCAAGAAGAGGATATCTTAAAAACTCATAGTCGTGTTTAACGTTTTGTTTTTGTATTTCATCCAAAGATGCAGACACTCGAATTTTCATTTGGTCTCTGGTGAGAGTTGTCTTTTTCATGATTGGCGATCATACCACATATTTTTATTTATTATAAGGGTGACATTTCTGTGTGTCAACTAATTGTTCTTAATTAAATGTTAAGCTGTTACACCGTCACAGGTTACAGGAGAATTTAGCACTTACAGTATGTGTAAGCCCACCACATTCTCATACTGTATGACCTTGTTCTAAGTAAGTAGTGGGAAACTCTGTGGTTGTTGTTGGTTGCTTTTTGTCATATTAACTTTTGTTTGATACTTGCATTTATAAATGTGTGAGGATCCTGATTTTACACCAACAAACTACACTACTTATAAAAACACCAAAATGTACAATGCGACAGGGATAAACCAGTTTTATCTGCATACAAACGGTATCCTTTGCCTTTCCTAGGACCATGTATCTTAAAGTAAATCAAACAAGTAAAACTGTGAGCTACTGCTCGCTGATGATACCCCCACCGATATATTTCGGTAAACAGGAAGTTGTTGAGTGATGAATCTGAAAACGCATCACACGGTGTAACTTACTTATATAAACCCTGAAACTAAATTTCAGAAATCCTTGTCAAGTAGTTCCTGAGAAAAATGTGACGAAAATATCCATGGGACGGACGGACTGACAGATGGACTGACGGAAGGACAGACAGAGGTAAAACAGTATACCCACACTTTTTTAAAGCGGGGTATAACAACAACAATAAAATGCTACGCTGAGAGCAGCTGGATACGACCTCAGAGGTCCAACCCTGAACTGTTGGGGAAAAATGGACTCAATATTCGCGCTTGATACAGCTCTGAATTTGGATTGTAAATAAATATTTGACACCTAATAGGTTTCTGACACCGAATAACTGTAGTCAAAGAACTCAGAATTGGTTATATGATTTGAATTTATATTCAATTTTTTGCTTTTGTGCAATACACTATGCTGCGAAATTGAACCCCCCAAAATTTTTTTTACCCCCCCCCCCCTTTTTTTGGCAAAAAGAAATAATATTTGAAGAAATTTTCTTTTTAATTTCTGAAATCTGAAATGAAAAAAAATATTGCCCCCACAATTTCTTTTTTACCCCTCCCCCCTTTTCCAAAAAAAAATATTTCCCTCAACATATGGTCATAATCTCAATTGAAATTTCCAATGGAGGTTGCAACCATAATTACTAATTTTAATACATCATATAAGTCTTAAAATAGAAAAAAAAATCCCCTCCCCAAATTTTTTGAACCCCCTTATGATCCATCACCCCCAACTCAATTCCAGCCTTCCCTATGTGGAATGGTACCTTGCAGTACAATTTCAGAGAGATTTATACACTTGAACACAAGTTATTGTCTGGAAACTAGGAAAATGCTTGTTTTTTGCCCCTTTTTTGGCCCCTAATTTCTAAAATTTTGAGTCAATTACACCCAAAATCAATCCAAACATTCCCTTTGTGGTATGGAACCTTGTGGTACAATGTCAGAGAGATCCATACACTAACACACAAGTTATTGTCTGGAAGTTACAAAAATGCATATTTTTGGCCCCTAATTCCTTAACTGCTGGTATCATAACCCCCAAAATCAATCCCAACCTTCCTTTTGTGGTATTGAACCTTATGGTAAAATTTCATAGAGATCCATTCCCTCAAACTAAAGTTATTGTGCTAAAACCAATGTATCTTCGGACGACAACGACGCCAACATCATACCAATATATGACCGTAAAAATTTGTTGTGGTCGTATAAAAACTTCCAGCACTGGATACATTAACCAATATCTCAGGACCACCAAATTGAACAAAATTATAAAAGATTGCAAATAATTTGGAAAGAGGGTTTAAAAAATATTAGTCTAATTGGAGCGTGGTAATGTAGCTATTTATAGCTACTTACTAAAAAGTGTGAATAGAAAAAGAAAATAAAGTGTCTTTATTTACACTTATATCCATTTATCTCTCATACAATGATTATTTTTGTTGTTGTGTAAATAATTGAACATCTTTATAAAACACACTGTTTATTTATTTCCCTCTTTAGAACAAAATCTGCTTCAAACTAATCAATATGTAGATCACAATTGTAACCTTCATCTTCACCAGTTTTCCATCCTAACCTGAAATTATAATGTTATACATTTAGTGAAAAACAAAAGCATTTCAACCTAAAAATTTGAATTGAAATAATCAATGATTGTGTGTTCTTAAAAAGTAGCAGCCCTGTCAGTCTGGACCCCAAAAATCAAGAAGGTCAATGATGTTGTAGTCCTGATTGCAAACTATTAAACAGGTTGTGGTTGTTTTATTCTCTTATTTTAAACTGTCTGGTATTTTATATTGGTATACATGTAGCTGCTCAGTGGCAGATCCAGAACTTTTTGTAAGGGGGGCCCGCTGACTGACCTAAGAAATTTTTTCCCACAAAAGGGGGGGGGGGGGTCAATCTTAATTACACCTACATGTACGAAAGTATGAAAAATCTGCAAATACATGACTGAATTTCACTGAGACCACACAATTTGTAGTCTGTGTTGTAAAAATGGTCAATAGCTGTAGGCTATAAAAAATATTTTGAGAACTTGGCAATGTTAATTATAGACAATAATATTTTAATGTTTGTTTATGTACATGTGCACTTGTTTGTATTCTTAAATCTTTTAACTTCCAATTCATTTGAGACAGAGTTACATTTGTAAGTCAATAACAGGAAGAAGAAAGAATATTTTCCATGAAATATTACATGCAACTTTTCTCACAAGTAAAAATAACTATTTGAGTATAACTTTAATATCTTACCTTCTTCATTCATTTTTGTACATATAGTTGATGAAAAGTAATTTGCTACAACACTACAACATGTACAATGTTTTAAAGAACACTATACTCTATAGTAACTGTTTTCACAGTCTGTATGAAAAATTGCAAAAGCAGCTAGGATGTTGGATTCCATGTATTTCCATTGACTGAAATTATATGAAGACATAATATGAAATTCAATATGAACATAACTAGTACTGGATCATTCAAAGCAAAAATAAAATATTGTAGGCTAGCTAAAGGACACATATCTAGAGTGATATAATTTCATGAATGATGGATATTGTTTTGCAATGGTAAATCATTATATGCAAATACAGAAAAAAAAAAACCAACACTATATATTAACTAGTTTATAGTTATACCATAGTGAGACTTTTTTACTTTCAATTAGAAATGTTAATTCCACATATTTTACATGATGGTGAACAAGATATATGCTTACTATTCTTAGATCAAACTCATACAGTTTATCTAAATGGTTCTATCAAAGATATAGATATAAATATGGCTATCATATTATGGATATAATATGGATATGGCTATTATATTATAGAGCTACGGTTCCACAGATAATTATAACTTAATGACTCTATGTAGTGATTCAAAAATTTGTTTGTCTTTACATCATTCATTTGTCTTTTTTGTCTTATTGTGTTGTAGATTTTGTTTGACTTAGGTTTTACATGTCCTTTTGATGTCTTCTAGGTGTTTCTTTTTTCTACTATATTGTTTTCAATATATTAATAAGTTAATAAAATTTACATGTATTTAAACAATATCACTGTTGAGTCTACTATTTAAATAAAATTTAAAGACAAACATACATGTACAGACCCTTGATACAAGATGTATGTAGTTTATTATTTACATGTAAAATCATGTCATTTTTCCTAATGTAGTAATTAAACAGATATATTGAAATATTCATACCATACAATTCCTACACGTTTTCAATGATACATCATGTGTTGAAGTACACAAACAACTGGTTATATTATGGTCGCTCATTTGAATAACAATGAAGAGGCATAACATGTGCGTCAAAATGCATAATTTGCACCCGATCTGCAATGATGTTGTCATATAAACATTCGAAAACCTGTTAAAGTTTTATCGGACCTTAAGTTTAAAGAAATATCTTATCCAAAAAGGAACAATTGTCAAAAATTCATAAAACCAAGACTTGGTTTTACCAGACATGTGTTTTCGCATCATTTTTAGAAACATTGCAGTTTTTCTCAAGAACCTAAGAAATTTCAATTATCAAAATATGATAACATCAAAATTTTTAACTCAGAGTACCATAAACACTAATCAAATATAAAATTGGGTTGCTCGATTTTCTAAATTCAGACTTTCAAATTGACCACTTACCTCTTTGACTATGACCGGTTTTTTCCAATATGGCGTCTATCCGGAAGTTAGGTAGGCCTGCGTTTGCGTTTAGGTTTCGAGGATGACGCCATGTTGTGCCGAGGATAATTGTTCTCAACTCGGACTACCAGATATCTCGGCCCAAAACAAACTTGGCCTATTACAAAGTCGGCTTCACAAACTTGGTCTATAACAGACTCAAACTATCACAAACTCGGACTGCTAAAAAGATATAAGTATGATAAACGAAATAAGTATTATTTTATTTGAAATTAACTATCAGTACTTTATTTTAAATAAAGTAATGGGTTAAAGTGAGGGTACCCAAATTGCACCCATTTCAACAGTTTTTCACCTACATTTATTCAAGGAACAGACAAAAATTTTCATTCTGTGTTTATTGTAGACGTATCCATTTTACTAGTTCAACACTGAATCACAGAAAAATGGGTTTGAACCTTCCTCCAAACAACCCAAGAATCTGTAATGAAGAGTATCTAAACTTGCAAGTGAATATAGTTCATCAGCAATGTTTCTGAGCTTATTTTGTCAAAATTGAAGCAAACTTGCCACTAAAAGCGTATTATTATTTCACTGTTTGACTATGATTGAACTTGGCCAAAAATAACTATATCTTGCTTTATTATATTTCTTGTAGCTAAAACCCTTTAAACATTGTATTTTTAAAATCATTTGAGATAAGGTATCTTCTGGTACCATGCAGTCATACTTTATCAATTTTTTTTTTATCTTAAGTGAATTTTGGTGGAATTAGACCTTCAATTATTCTCTGAACAATTTTTTTAAATTTTTTTTCCCCCGTCTTATTCTTTAATTTCTTGCAAGGTTTTCTTGTTTCAAAAGATGTTTCCAAGTTATTTCATATATGATATCAAGCAGATTATACATTATTGAAACTGACCCAGTTTAACTGAACGCCTTTCTTCGTAAGAGTTATCTCCTCAAACACTATTTTTCTTGTTATCTCTACTACTTTAATTCACAACAGTAAAGACCATGACAAAACTACTTTCCCACATTGCTATTAAATCCTCAGGATGTTGACCACAATTTTGACCAGATAAATAATTAAAATGGCAAGGTGCACAACTATAGATGTCATGATGGAAGTACACCACTAATTCATGGCCCCATTGCTTTCTATGTTAAATTCCTCAATTTCAAGCACTCAGGCACAGCTCTTTTGTTTTAAGTTCAAATAAAATGACAATCATTGCATGTCAAAGCAACACTTCATGGTGTCTTGTACTGAAAAAATCAGCATACCTTTAATGGCATATAAGAAAGAACTGGTTCCCAAAACTTCGGATGTACCAAAATAGGTACTTCAGATCTGACAAACAGGCAAAATGTACCCTCTTTTTTAAATTTCATGCAATTTTTTTATTATTAAAAATTATAAGTCAAAAAGTGTTCAACAATGATCACCAGTCATTCAGCTTTCATTTGATATCAAAATTGCCTAAATATTCTACATATTTTGAAAGTTACACCCATGCGTAGGAACTATTTTGTGTTAAATATGTACTACTTTCTGGTAATGGTATGTGCTTTCCGGCCGGGCCCCGAATTAGTGGTGTTACACCTATAACAGAACCAAACTTGCCATATTGACTTCAGCATTTCTTAATTTCATTCTATGATCTATTCTAAGCAATAAAAAACATATAAAGCTTAAGTCCAAACACTATTTTACTGATTTTAAGCTCAAATTGGACTGGTAGTAACATATGTGTTATGCAAAAAAAACTCCATATAGGGATATTACCAATGGCCAGTATGATTTTTTTATTCTCAATATCGTGGTTCTATTTGTTAATTTAAACTAGGAAAACAATGTGCTTACCATTGTAGTCATATTTTTGTCAGAGGATGTTCATTTAATAAAAATATATTAGTCCAAACCTAAGACATAATTGAGAATATTGTCCCCCCTTTTTTCTTCAAATTAGAAAAGGGACATTTTTGGTACAAACCAAACTTCTGTGGTACAATATAGATTATTAAGAGCAATTTATATATCCCTCAGCTGGATAACATGCAAAACTGGTTCAAAATTGCATGTACAGTGAGATTTTGGAATTCTTATAGGAGTATATATACTAATTGCCTAGATTGTAAATTAAAGGCTACCATAAGAAAACCAATAAAACTTGAGAAATCATTGGATTATTCGACCAAGAGCTATTTTTTTACAATAAACAAGTCATAATATACATGTTTTATTGATTTAAATCCAAATAATGCAAAAATAAGAACTTGGGGTGACAAGTCTTAACTGCATGCATGTTGTATGACCATAAAAGGCTAAAATACCTTATTGTGTCAATTTAAGGGCTGAAATTTGGCATAAACAGAATTGTTCATCCACAAAAGTTGATTAAACATGATTACTGACATCAAATATGACCAATTTTCATTGGAATAGGTAAAACTTCTTAAAACTGAATTTCTGATGATTCTCTGTAATAGGAACTACACCACTAATTCATGGCCCCATTGCTTGCTATGTTAAATTCTCAATTTCAAGCAGACACAGCTCTTTTGTTTTAAGTTCAAATAAAGTGACAATCATTGCATGTCAAAGCAACACTTCATGGTGTCTTAATGTACTGAAAAAATCAGCATACCTTTAATGGCATATAAGAAAGAACTGGTTCCCAAAACCTCGGATGTACCAAAATAGGTACTTCAGATCTGACAAACAGGCAAAATGTACCCTCTTTTTTAAATTTCATGCAATTTTTTTTATTATTAAAAATTGTAAGTCAAAAAGTGTTTTACAATGATCACCAGTCATTCAGCTTTCATTTGATATCAAAATTGCCTAAATATTCTACATATTTTGAAAGTTACACCCATGCGTAGGAACTATTTTTGTGTTAAATATGTACTACTTTCTGGTATGTGCTTTGCGGCCGGGCCCGAATTAGTGGTGTTACACCTATAACAGAACCAAACTTGCCATATTGACTTCAGCATTTCTTAATTTCATTCTATGATCTATTCTAAGCAATAAAAAACATATAAAGCTTTAGTCCAAACACTATTTTACTGATTTTAAGCTCAAATTGGACTGGTAGTAACATATGTGTTATGCAAAAAAAACTCCATATAGGGATATTACCAATGGCCAGTATGATTTTTTTATTCTCAATATTGTGGTTCTATTTGTTAATTTATACTACGAAAACAATGTGCTTACCAATAGTCATATTTTTGTCAGAGGATGTTCATTTAATAAAAATATATTAGTCCAAACCTAAGACATAATTGAGAATATTGTCCCTCCCTTTTTTCTTCAAATTAGAAAAGGGACATTTTTGGTATAAACCAAACTTCTGTGGTACAATATAGATTATTAAGAGCAATTTATATATCCCTCAGCTGGATAACTTGCAAAAACTGGTTCAAAATTGCATGTACAGTGAAATTTTGGAATTCTTATATGAGTATATACTAATTGCCTAGATTGTAAATTAAAGGCTACCATAAGAAAACCAATAAAACTTGAGAAATCATTGGATTATTTGACCAAGAGCTATTTTTTTAAAATAAACAAGTCATAATATACATGTTTTATTGATTTAAATCCCAAATAATGCAAAAATAAGAACTTGGGGTGACAAGTCTTAACTGCATGCATGTTGTATGACCATAAAAGGCTAAAATACCTTATTGTGTCAATTTAAGAGCTGAAATTTGGCATATACAGAATTGTTCATCCACAAAAGTTGATTAAACATGATTACTGACATCAAATATGACCAATTTTCATTGGAATAGGTAAAACTTCTAAAAATTGAATATCTGATGATTCTCTGTAATAGGAAGTACACCACTAATTCATGGCCCCATTGCTTGCTATGTTAAATTCCTCAATTTCAAGCAGGCACAGCTCTTTTGTTTTAAGTTCAAATAAAGTGACAATCATTGCATGTCAAGCAACACTTTATGGTGTCTTAATGTACTGAAAAAATCAGCATACCTTTAATGGCATATAAGAAAGAACTGGTTCCCAAAACCTCGGATGTACCAAAATAGGTACTTCAGATCTGACAAACAGGCAAAATGTACCCTCTTTTTTAAATTTCATGCAATTTTTTTTATTATTAAAAATTGTAAGTCAAAAAGTGTTTTACAATGATCACCAGTCATTCAGCTTTCATTTGATATCAAAATTGCCTAAATATTCTACATATTTTGAAAGTTACACCCATGCGTAGGAACTATTTTTGTGTTAAATATGTACTACTTTCTGGTATGTGCTTTGCGGCCGGGCCCGAATTAGTGGTGTTACACCTATAACAGAACCAAACTTGCTATATTGACTTCAGCATTTCTTAATTTCATTCTATGATCTATTCTAAGCAATAAAAAACATATAAAGCTTTAGTCCAAACACTATTTACTGATTTTAAGCTCAAATTGGACTGGTAGTAACATATATGTGTTATGCAAAAAAAACTGCATATAGGGATATTACCAATGGCCAGTTTGATTTTTCTATTCTCAATATCGTGGTTCTATTTGTTAATTTATACTACCAAAACAATGTGCTTACCAATAGTCATATTTTTGTCAGAGAATGTTCATTTAATAAAAATATATTAGTCCAAACCTAAGACATAATTGAGAATACTGTCCCCCACCCCCCCCCCCCCCCCCCCCCCCCCCCCCCCCCCCCCCCATCTTTTTTCTGCAAATTAGAAAAGGGACATTTTTGGTATAAACCAAACTTCTGTGGTACAATATAGATTATTAAGAGCAATTTATATATCCCTCAGCTGGATAACTTGCAAAACTGGTTCAAAATTGCATGTACAGTGAGATTTTGGAATTCTTATATGAGTATATACTAATTGCCTAGATTGTAAATTAAAGGCTACCATAAGAAAACCAATAAAACTTGAAAAATCGTTGGATTATTTGACCAAGAGCTATTTTTTTACAATAAACAAGTCATAATATACATGTTTTATTGATTTAAATCCCAAATAATGCAAAAATAAGAACTTGGGGTGACAAGTCTTAACTGCA